CAACCCCCCCCCTCATTATTGTTATTGTTAATATTGTTATGACGCTGGCACCAAGCTTGTTCTCAAGCCGGTGTTAAATATATATATATATATACTTTATTGCCTTCACAAGTGCGTGAATCTCGGATCTTTTTCCGGCATTCTATTGCATCATTTCTTGTTGAGGAAGTTGGCTGTCATGCATGCCCACGTGGAGGCAAAGATTCTTATTCGTTTCATCAGCCTTATTGGGATTATAATTAGAAAGCAGTAAAATCCCACATAGTCATTGTAAATATTTTTTAATTCGGAAAAAGATAGAACACTCAAAGTTGATCATAAAGGCATGAATGAACATGATAAGAGGTGGTTTCAATTAAATTTTCCATTTCTTCAAACTTTAAATCCTTTCTTTGGCATCATTCACGTTTTTGCAACATCTTTATTGGGATTTGGAGAGATTTAAATATATAAAGGATAAATAAGTGCAATTATAATTGAGTAGCATTTATTCGGTCTGCGCTATTTCAGTGATTTACTCTTCTGCTTTCCCTGGTACCCGAAGTCCTTGAGTAAATCACGACATACACTCACCTCATATCCGAGAGCTTTGGGGTTTGTAATCGGAACCCAGGTGCACTTTATCTCCACTTTGTCTCGGTCACTCGAACAGGTGAACCCCTGTACTTCTAGTGGCCCATTATTGACAGTATTCATTACCGAATTGTATACAATGCTGTCTAGGAGCCACGGGTTTGAAGCAGTCTCGTGTGGACATCCATCTCCGCTGAAGACGAATATCCAGTCGGACGAGGGACCGGTTCCGAATTCGTTTTGAGCTGCCAAGCGAATCTGGTAATATGTCTGAGGGGGCAATGGAGGCAATAGTGCCTCATAGTACGGTTGATTCGAAGGTTTGTGGGAGATGAGTAGTGTCCGGTCACTTCGATCATTAGTAGCTCGCGACCAGACCCGATAGATAAGGCGATAAAACCGGGGTTCTGCGTTCCACGAGGTTTCAGGAATTGGCTGGAGAATAAAAATATATACCAAAAATATCATGCTGATTGATTCCACCGGTGGACACTGCCTGGGGCTGTTTCTCCCCTCATTCGTGTCACAAACTGAGATTATTACCAGAAATGTTTTAATAAAATTGTATCACATTTACTGTATTTCCGCTAATCTGATATTGCTAATAAGAATTAATTTGTGGCCTATTCGAATCGGCAATTTGAGTCTAACAGAAAAACCATAATTTACAGATCTTCATTGACATTACCGACCACAGAATCATGAGTGAAAACGTTTGGATCAACATCGCACATTCCTGCGATACAAAAGAAGTCCATGGGAAAGTAGGCTATATGATAAACATGATGAAATTCCGTACGAGAGTATCTGTCATTCAAGCAGACTTTTGGGCAAATTTGACGGTGAATTGTGATGGATTATTTTCACTGACAGCTGATCTTCAGTAGTATAGTGTATGCGAGTTGGTCTTTTTAACTGCTTTGAAGACTTGGATTAATCCAACATATCCGCCAATAAAGTGAAAAAGATGATAATTGAATGAATGTCTGTTCCAGTAATTTACTTATGATATCATGTACATCACACTCAAATTGAGTCAAAGGCACAGCACATCTGACAAACTGGGACCCCTCTGTTCGCTCATTTTAACAGAAAGGAAAAAATTTTGGAAATTAAAACTGAACAGGAAATGACCCAAAAGTTTGTTTGGTATTTATTCTAGCCTAGCGACATCATGATGATGATGCAATGCAAATAGTCATAGTAGGAAATGTCCTTATTATTGAGAGGGGAAGAGATTTTAGCACTTACAACACCTTCCTTTGCAAGTCTGTAGGTGAAAAATTGTATTTATTCCAGATAAAAAGAGAGATTTAATTTAATCACGATTTTAAATACAAATCTGAAAATTTAATGTGTTGTATAAACTTAACCTGACAATACAACCTATGATCAGACATTCACCGTGAATATGAACAAAGTAGATGATACAGCGATGCCAGAAAGCAGTGTAGACCAATGTGATAGGTTCATTTGATTCACTTGTATGAACAATACTCGATCAAAAAGATGAACCACACCCGAAGATAAAAATCGTAAGTCTATTTTGAAAGGGAAAACTGGACATAAGAGTGGTTTGGGAAGTAGCAACCGATGTAAAAGCTAAATCAAGTGCGAGATAATAATGCATTTGGTACTATTGTATGTTTACACTCTTTTAACTGGGGTGGTTGGTTAACTGGAAGTCGCGATTATTTTACATCCGCGTTGTCTTCGATACGGGACCGTTCGAGGGTTATCTTTCGATTTCACCACAAATAGTTCTTTGTTATTGAAAGAGTGTACGATTCTGTTTGTCAGATTGAACAGAACTTTTCTGTAATTCGTTTCTTTCCCTCTAAAGCAAATAGAAGAATCAGCGGACTGCTGAAAGTTTAGGGAGAAATTTATTGTGGAATTTGCATTTGTCACCTGCCGGAGGGAGAAGGAATGCAGTCCAAAATTTAGGTATAACTCGTTGGTAACAGTAAAGTCATAAAGTGTGCTCAATTACCAATATTACCGGCTGAACATCAAAAATCTTCAGCATGCTGAAAACTGACGAGCTTGTAAAGCAGAATTCATTCGCAGTTGTACTTTTCCAGTGATCCATGGCTTGACATTCGCCTTTTTCTGGAAGTTTTCCTCTGTGCGTGACAAAGCAATAACTTGACTGCTTCAGCATCCAAACTGAATAGTATCTAAAATCGGAAGTATCATGGTTTGAAATTCACACTTTGCGTGAAGGCATTAAGTTGGTTCCGATGGATCTCCAATATGAAATTGAAATGCCCGGCTGTGGTGATACAATTACGGGTTAAATTCTTCCTGGGCATCATGGCTTGGTACCGACGTTCCTTATCCCGACTGAGGTCACTATGGATCTAATGAGTCTAAGCGCAAATGGATTCCGTCATAACTGACTATCCTATTCAAATCCACAGTTAAGTGAACCTGGACTCCTTTGTCGGAGTACATGTCATTCTGAAGGGATTATTTCTACCCGGGGATTTATTGTAAGAATGAATAAGTCATTGATTTGCCAACGACCGAGGAAAACGTAAGATATCAGTTCTGCGTTGTGATGAGAACAAACGGATGATTGATCAACTTTCCTTTGTCTGTCTTATTCGTCAATTCTGACAATTGTGGTACTTGCTCAACGTCGCCCGAGGTGATTAATGAGCAATATATGAAATGAAGCAAATTTTTCAGTCAGGGGAGGGGGTCAGACAAACAGGTAATGGATGTTGCATTGTTCACTTTCAAAGTGTAACTCAAATTATCGTTTCAAAGAACTGCTGGGGATATAGGGTACTAGTGGGGTTGCACAGTTGTGTAAATCACTGTATTGGAACATGTATCACGCAACGGTGGTCTGTTCCAATAATCTTTTGACAACCGAAATGTAAACGGTGTTCGTACGCATTGAAATCTGGTTGATGGAAGTGTGATAAATTGCAGTCCGATTTAGAAAACTTTGTCTAAACCAAACATACGAGNTCTATTCTGGACAATATTATCATCAAGATGACCAGGTGTTTGAAAAAATGGTATCCATTTATTCAGTAAAATTCATAGCACCATGAGCAGTAAGTTGACAAGGATACTACTCTGAACGAAAAATTTGTCGTATTTGCTAATGAAGACAATGATGAATGATCGTCCACTTTTATTACTTGCACAACTGATGAGGTATGTTTTCAATCATATGTTTATGGAGGAGAGGACATGGGTTTGGATGCCTGCTTGTCAGCTCCAGTGTACACTCGACCCGAAGCAACATGTTATATGAGACATTTGAATTCCATTCCTGATGATCATTGGGCTTTAACTGGTTGTAGTGTTTGGAGTGAATTTTCAACGATCAGGAAGCTCTGTTTACGCAGTTACCAAGGTTTATACGCATTCTGATAAGGAAATCGAGTTTGAAGGGCGAAACCACTGCCGTTGAGTGATTATTAACCGTGACCACGTTGTTCATCACGCAGCAAACCGTAGATTCGACGGATGCAAAACCACCAAGTTATTTGGTGTATCAAAAAGCCGCTGAAATCGTCCCTGAAATTGTTGATAAATGAAAATGATGAATCACATCCGGTATTCAAGCAGTTTATCCATATGCGACTATTTGTTTGCAACTCCATAGGTTGATTAGTTGTGACTCCAAGACCATAATTATCTGCGCGGGAAACAGTGGAAAAATCAATACGAGGGCGTGAAATGTCTGGTTTTCTTCTCAACTCCCCACTTTCACTCTTTTGTGGTGGTTTGATTGGGAGTGATAAAGGAATCCCTGTTTATGGGTTTCTTTCTAAGAGTTATCAAAAGCTTAAGAAGGAGGGAAGCGAGAAATAGACCTTCGTATTTATCCTTGTTGGCTCATGGTCTCTAGTGTTTTTTTCATGCACACAGATCCAGTTAATGTGAGCCTCGGACTAGAGGCACTAGTGCAGATGTACGTGTAGTGAACTAAGGGTGTGAATTTCAATGGACTCCTCAAAAGATTCGTTCAAAAATCGCCTGATATGTGTGTGAGGGGTTATGAATCACAAACAGTGCACATTGACACGCGAACCAACACTCAGGGTAAGACAATCACCGTCAATTACGTAAATGAGCTGTTGAATTTGGAAGAACATGTTCATATCCAGTTCTATACTATTTGTTGGATATGAAAGTACGAAACCCCCTTTTCATTATTTCAGAATGAAACAAATGAATTAAATAAAAACCCTTTGTTTTTAAAAAGCATTTTCAAATTTGACTGAATAGTTTCTTTTTTTCCCCAGAATAATCACATTCAGTGTACACCACTAACATAATTCGAAATGTGTATTCAACCTTACAACTCCTTCAATGGAGTTTGAAGGATTCGAGGGAAAGCATACCAGAGCAGACAGCTAGCATACCGGTTGGTGTTTTGTTATTC